AGACTGGCTGCACTCTCGTCGACTGGTCGACGCGAAGGATGATCCAAGCAGCGTAATGCTCCCTTATCTTAATAAGGAGGGGGTAGAGTTTTGGAATGCTGAAACACTGCAGGGAAAAGTTCCTAAGCTTGATTTTAAGGATCTCATGGAGGATGATGGCGCACTTTTTGATTGGCTCAAAATCTTACACAGTGTAGGAATTGCTTTGGTGGTTAACACCCCTCTGGAGGTGGAACAAGCAGAAAAACTCCGTGATAGGGTTGGATATTTTAAGACAACTCACTATGGGTATGTAAATATTATTATATTTCATTCTTTTCCTGCAGTAGGTTACATGTAACTATGCAGCAATAGGTCTCTAACTAGTTACGTGGCTTCCGTAACCCAAGCAAGAGAAGGCTCTTTCTATCCTGTTTTGGAGGTAGTATGGTGTAACATTTAGCGTCTTGGACTCATTAAAGCAACCTTTGGGGGAGGAGGGGGGTTCCGGGGATGAGCGGATAACCTGCAATGATCCAGTATCCCATACACTGGGAGTAGCAGTCTCAATGTTTCTTGAGATGAATTTGAGAGAAATGTAGAGGTTTGATGAAATGCTGTGTTACTTGAGGATAATATTTCAGTTGATAGTGGTTTGATTGATCCTGCACTGTATGGTTTTCATTGTATCACTAGTGGTTCTATTTTTTCCACTAAACTATGTAATTGAGGTTTTAAGTGCTTCTATTAAGTAATAAGTCCTTGTCCTTGGTTTAGGAAGAGAAAATTTTTGTGTTATTCTTGTAGGAATGGATAAATGAGACAGCAGAATCCTTACATTCATTATGTGCACCACATCTCATGGAAATTTATTTTCAGAGCATAGACCCTTTTGCCTAGTTGTGTGTGATATGCATATGATTGAAAAAAGATAGCCCTCTAACTTTTTTGATTCATTTACTGTGACCAATCCTGTTTAGATCACTTGTTTTTGTTGTTAAAAAAAATTCATAACTCTTGTTAGCTGTTGAGGAGGGTTAATTCTGTAGAAATCAAGAACCTTTTTCCTTTTTGACTTGCAGGCATTATTTTGATGTGAAAGCAAAATATGAAGCAAATAACTTGGCATATACTTCAAACTTTTTGCCACTGCATACTGACCTGCCTTACTATGACTATATACCAGGGGTAAGTGTACTCAGTTTCTTCAGGAAGGTCTGGAGCCTCGGGAACCCTTAGATTATATCTGTTTTAACTACTGGTACATTAATTTTAGTCCAAATAGCAAGTTCCTTTATTAATGGAAAGAAATGTGATGTGGTTAGTTTGTGGGTTGTGGCAAGAATTGGCTGTGAGATAAGTTTGAGGGTAGGGAAGTGCAGCCTGATCTGAAAGAGGGACTTTGGAGATGGGGCAAAGCTAATGATCATTTGTTACTCAATCCTCTTTGCTACTATTGACATGTTAGACTGCATTTAAGTCCTTTCATCCTGTTTAATGTTTTTCTGGCATTTGGCCTTGGCCCTACCATGTGGAGATCTATGGCCTCAGCTCTTTCTTGACAGCTTTCTGCCATGTTGTTTCTTTTCCCTGAGGGTGTTCAATAAATCTACCAGGATTTTTCCTTTCCTATTTTCCTTTCTTTTCTTTCTGCAACTGTTGGTTAGCTATAGTTAGTTTGCTCTGATCAAGTTTGCAGAAGTGGGAAGTGGGAGGGGAGGTTCTCCTATACATGGGTTTTGCTGAGATATCACTCAGACAAAAACTATGCAATGAAATTGTAAAATGATATTGTCTATGTGTCCCATGGGAAGTGACTTTGTTTTTGTCTTTTTGTTTATAATGTGTGGAAGAGGGTTCCCATTTTTGCTGGATTTGTCTGAAAGCTCCAGACCATTACTTTTTTTAGTAGGTCCTCTGGGAGGCACGGTGGCCTCATGGTTAGTGCGCTCGACTCCGGACTGGGTGGTCCGGGTTTGAGCCCTGGCCGGGGTCATTGTGTTGTGTTCTTAGGCAAGACACTTTACTCTCACAGTGCTTCTCTTCACCCAGGTGTACAAATGGGTACCAGCAAATGTGCTGGGGGTAACCCTGCAATGGACTAACATCCCATCCAGGGGGGAGTAGCAATACTCCTAGCTGCTTCATGCTAAGAAAACCGGAGTTAAGCACCGGCCCCATGGGCCACTTGGGCCCATATAAAGGCTTTACTTACTTTTACTTTTAGGGCCAAAGTGCTGGTTGCTGTTAGGGTCACATGTCCAAGTCATGTGACCTGACCTCCTCAGACCTTTTTCATCTGACACAGGTCTAAAATATCTAATTCAAGGCTATTACACCCCAGCTGTTGTAGATTTAAGAGCAAGAACCCCTCTATTCGAGTCCTAACAGACTCTGCTTTTTCTTTTTTAGCACCTCTGACAGAAATCTTCTCTGTTTTAGGTTCAGATGTTGCACTGCATTGAACAAGCCACTGGTACAGGCGGAGCAAACCAGTTTGTGGATGGCTTCTTCGTTTCACAGGAGCTGCGAAATAAAGATCGCAAAAAGTTCGATATCCTGACAAAGACGCGAATCCAGTTTGTTGACATTGGAAAGGACATGTTTGGAGATTTTTACTACAAATTTGCTCGACACATGATTGAGTAAGTCAGTTATTACTCATGAACATTATTGTGGAGTTAAGTTCAATTGAATGTCCAAAGTAAATCCGGAAGCGTTTTTGATTTTCTCTTCTATTTTTTGTAATTGGTCTACGCAGTTAGAGCCACTTTCTCTCCCAGTCAGATGCAAAAGTGAAACAACTTGTGACTTGTTCCCTCGCGTTTGCTAACGCCTTTCTTATGATACAACCCGGCGGGATCTCAGTTGATTCAGCAAGGACATTTAAGTCGACTATGCAACGGTAGAGTTCATGGAGCGTTTTTCGAATGAGTATCGCAAAACTAAACCCAAAATAAAACATCCATATTGCATAAAGAGCGGGAAAACGCGGACGACCAAGACGTGATTGGTGTTAGTTTTGCTTCTGTCTGGTTGGGAAAGTGGAGCGAATTTTCTGGACCAATCACAGAGCGAAGTAAAGCATAACTAAAAACAATCCCAGATTACTTTCAACACTCAAATGAAAATTGCCCTATGGCCAAGCGCTTTACCCGACAACATACAAGAACTGATTTTTCTTTCATGTCACCTTTTTGTCTCAGGTTGGACAAGAACGGCCAAATTGTGCGTTTTGCCTTCAGCAACCATGCGCGAGACTCTGTCGTGCTCAACTCCACCCCTGAGGAGACTGTTCAACTTTACGAAGCTTATCTTACTTTGGGCAAGATGTTAAGAGAACCGGCCAATCAAATAGAGCACAAAATGGTTCCCGGGGATATGATCACCTTCAACAACAGTCGCGTGTTGCATGGGAGATCGGCGTTTACTGTCCAAGGGGGACAAAGTCGGTTCCTTCGCGGCATCTACTTGGATTGGGATATTATGTATTCTCGTATGAGAGTGCTGGCGAAAAAGCTGAACATTCCGCTATCGTACTAAAGCATACTACATCTTCTTGGAGGTAAAACACACATGAATGGCCCTTGAAACATGATCGAGGTGAACAGAAAAAGGAAATAAACTCATTTCGATTATTTACGGGATTTTTAGGTAATAACTCATGTTTCGATATGAAATATTATTAGGAAATATTTCAACATACTTCGCTGAAGTCGACACACTGAATGCATGTGGCTTTTCGTGAATTCCGTACAAGAAATGTTAGTCGGACCGGAAGCTGTTTTTCCGTGTAGAGATGTAAAATTATATTTAGTCCTGGTTTGGTTTGTAATGGGGGTAGAATGCATCGTGTCATATATATAGCGGGATCAGGAGGTTGTAAGAACTTATGCTTAGCCAGAACGTATCCGGTTTGATTGGCTTTAGAATGGGGTAGAATGCATTTTGATATAAATATGGCGAGTCAGAGCTGGAAGAAATGGTGCTGAACGAGGAATTTAAGTTTAGTCCTGGTTTGATTTGGTTTATAATGGATTGAAGGCACCTGTGATGTGGTTTACAGCCTTCGGCATGTACTAAAATTAAGAATACTGGGACACAGTAAGAGAGGAATACTGGAATACCGGAACATCAGAACACACCGGAACACGCCAGAACATCGGAACACACCCGAACACGCCAGAACACACCAAATGATAGACACCTATTTGTAGCAAAAAAACAGAAACACAACCGGGGATCAAGTAATTGCCGTAGATCACAATTGCAAACGACATAGTTATACAGTCATTTCTTCACTAACAGACACCCTCGTAATCGGGTAGTTTTTTCCATTCCCATTTTTAAATCCGATCTATATATACTCAGTATTTATTTATTTATTTATTCCCGTAAGTGGACGGTAACTCGCAAGCGGATGCGGACACTTAAAGTGAAAATTGGATTTTTCTTTGTTTACGCTCTCTCGTTAGCGGACACCCATGATAATTGATTCTTGGAAATAAAATTTGTCTTGAATTTGAAAATCAAAAGTCCTTTTCTCTGCTATTTAAACGAATTACTCGCTTAGCTTACGGTCTCTACCTTCCCTGCATACTATACATGAAGTAAAACTGATGGATTTTACATCCTTCCCGCTCTGAGACAGACCTTCAAGCGCGTTCGCGTACTTATTTCGAGCCTGCGTTCACAGACTACCAGTGGTCGCCCTATAACCGTAAGTACGTCATATACGGCGATCTGCAGCGGGTAACCATCGCTCTTGACTCTCGAAGCCATGAGGCAAAGTTTGGAAACTGGCGGTTCTTGGATCCCTCTCTTTATTCCTTTGTTAGGAATTTTTTCGATTTCTAGTGCACAAAATCATGTCGGTGAAGATTTAGACGCGAAAATCGCTTTTGATTTACCGGGACAACAGCCACCAATCTCGTTTGCGCAATCTACAACAGATCACCCAAGCACGGGATATATTGTCTATTGTCCTTGTATGGGTAAGTTTCCACTATCTTTTGTTTTGTCTTTCACATGAAACGTCTAGATTTAGGTGACATGGCTTTATGTTTTATAAATCTCCCGTTTATTTTCCCGGATTATAACAATCCTTTAACGTTGTTGTATTTTTCTTTGTACGACTTGTGATGAGATAAATGTATACAAAGGGGGTAAGTTTCTATTGAAACTGTGGTGCTGCGTTCGTGGGAGAGTGATAAAAAGGAAGTTTGGTATTATTAAATGAGTTGAGAACGTAAATTGGCCACCGTAAAGAGTTCGCTTGAAACGTCAGCTTTGAAACTCTTAACGGTGGTTAATTTACGTTAACAACTCAGTTGATAATACTTAATTACCTTGGTAATGAGACAAGCTAAGCAGAGTGAAGGAAAGTGTAGATAACGCGGTATCTTCGTCTCGTTTAGACACAGGGAAAGGTAAATAGGTGTTTGGCTGTGGACTTCTGAGGTCAGATTAGATTTTCTCCTTCTTTGGAAATATGATGCTAATATCTGTACAGCTCTAAAGGTTTAAACCTGGAGTTAAAATAATTATCAGACAGCATAGTGTAAGAAAATGTGGGTCATGAATAACAGATTTGTTTGCAACACTAGCACTTTCACATAGAAAGTTTTGGTCAAAGACCCATTCTTTACTATCTTAAATACTCTTTGATTTAGCCTCTACCAAAGCACTCTCTGAAAGACCAAAGCTTTTTACATATCTGAAGAGCTTGTTACTCAGAGTCTGTAGTTCTTTTTTCATTTGTTTTGTGAATCACCTAAAGCCTTACATTAACCCTTTGACCCATAAGATTAAACAGCATCTAATTTAATAATAATAATAATAATAATAATTTACCAATTTATATAGCACGTATTTACATGTGCTGATCAATAGTGCTTTACAATCATATGTTTAAAAGAAAA